CTTCTTAGACTACTTAATTTTTTATACAATTTTTGAAAATCTTGAAAAAGACAAAAAAAATTTAAGGTAGGACTATATCATATTTCTGCCATAGGAAACTTTGAAGAAATGTTCAGATTTTTATTAAATTTACTTTGTATAGCTTGTATAAGAGGCATTACTATTTATTATGGATTCATACTTTTATAAAAATGTTGATGGAATATAAGAAAATCGTTTCCTTAAGTTTTCCTAAGTAGTACTATAAGGTAACCAAATAGCTGACCAACAATAGAAAAATATGTATGTTTTTTCGAAAAAAATAATATGAGTTTAATTTTTTTTATAGGTTTTAATTTATATTGCTATTTAATTACTTTTAAATATTTTATTTTTTATAACTTACATCTTAGGTAGCATAGATGACTAGACAGCGCACTATGGCTTATTGGAAATTTTATCCAAGACGTGCTAAAGATTTCTTAAATGCATAACTTTTCGCCTCTTTTCTCTGCTCATTAATTAAAGCACCCAAAACAGAATGGCTTCCATGTTACTCGGAAGAGCTCAGGTAACCGGTCAGTAGATTTAGTTCAAGAAAACCTTGAAAGCCAACCGTTAAATCGTAATATCATTGGTTTAATCCGAATCCAATACTTGCAGCCAAGTCTGTCACTATAAAAGTCTGCTCTGCTGCAACAGCCCGGCTGTCCAACGATAATTTGATAACGATCTACGATAAATAATAATAATAATACCCAGATATTAAATAATTTCTAGTACTCTTTGTTAAAAAACGAATTCGCAATATCGATATACAACTTCTTATTCACATTATGGTTTATTGGAAATTTTACCCAACACCTAATAGAGGTTTCTTAAATGCACACTTCTCTCCTCTTTTCACTGCCCGGTAATTAAATCACCCCAACAGCAAGGCCTCCTCGTCCCTGAAACCCGGAACATAAACCAACTGGTTATGGCTTATTAATTTTGCATGCAGCCGCGACTGCAGAATGCAGACAGCTTCATGTAAACATGTGCAGGATCCCACAGGAAGACTCCTTCAGGCTTCTTCCTGCCAGTTCGGGTGCTGCACTCTCTACTGAAAACCCGATTTCGGGAAAAGACAAACTGGTGGGACTGCACATCGCCACAGATTATCCGATTTAATGCGGGCTCTGCAGTGCACTCAATCGGTTCACTGGTTGGCAAACACCGATTTTATTCCAAATATTTATAATTATCTGTGGGCTATCTTCGGACAGCCAATAAAACGTTTTTCTGTTTGCTGCTGGCATAAAAGTGATATTTACCGACTGAATGAACATTTTTTGGTTGATTATTTTTAACGTTTATGTATCCGGTTTTACAGCCCATATTTGCTTTCCATTTAACTCCAATTATTCTTTTTAAGATTTTCATTGTTATTCTAAATTTTTTGTGCGACAAAATGAACGGTTTTTCTTATCACTGCACTACGACAAGAGTTCATGTTGACCTAACTTGATTCGGGTCGTTTATAGCCATGTTGTGTTTCTTAAACAATATTTAGAATTTTACACAAAATGCAATATCTAAATTATATATATTGCATTTTGTGTAAAAATTAATAATTAAAATTTAATAATTAAAATTATTGGGAAAAATAGCTTTACCTTGCAAATGAAATGTTGCTCATTAATAAAACGGAGATTGAATAGAGAGCATTATATGTAATTTTTATTTGTTGATTTGCTAACTTGCTATAAGAATTTAAAATAAAAAAGAAAGCCGTTCAACAATTTTTACTAAAGTTTCAATATTTTAAAGTTCGTCTTGTAAACGTATAATAACTATAATAATGATGAAACCCTTGTTCTTCCTTTTTTATAATCAAATGATTATGATTCGTAGCCTGTAACCGCGGCGCTTAGAACCGATCCAATATTTAAGCTTCTGTTTTATGGCCATCGACAAAAGTCCAGGCAGTGACAGCTATTGTGGCAGTTGCTGCCTGTGGCAACCGACTGAGGAAGGATAGTTGCGGGCTGTAACCCCTTGAATCCTGTGCAGGTCCTGCAGAGCACGCCAGAAATGAGTGCGTCATGCGAGGAGCATCCTAGATTCCTCCGTCCCGGGAATACAAACAAAACATACATTTTAACGAGCTTGTCATGCGAAACAGGCGGGGCAACAGCAGCCACTTCGACGTCGACGCATCGTTATATAATTGACTCCCTGATGCCTGGATGTCGAGCAGTTTATCACTTTGTTGTCGGCGATGGCGCTGCTAATAATGCTGATGCCCTCGATACAAGTTGCCTGATTATGATGATGCGACGGTGCTTATCTGGTTAAACTCTGCTGGCTGAGCTATGGCACACACTGCGTATGCGTAATGAGGTCACTCCTCTGAATTTTGAGTGGATTTTCATTTTAAACAATTTTGGACAAACTGCTAATTTTACCACACTGCCAGAAAGCGAGTAATTTGTATTTTTAAAATACAATGGACAGGTAATAAATAAATACGGTTTTTTTATTGTTGTTTATTGTTTCAGCATATTAGAGAATCTCCGAGCTCCGATAAATAAAAAACACGTTTTTTTCGAACTCAAGTAAATGTTTCATGTCTTGAATTTTGTATTTTAAAAGTATATAAATGACCAGCTTCCCAGTGGCTTCTTTAAATGCATTTTAAGTATGCTAAGTTTATTTAAACGCCAATCGGAAATAAGAATAATTGGAAATTAAAGTATTTATTTAGCACACTCGTTTTTCATCTGAAGGGACGTTGATTGGCGAAGTGGGTTCAGTTGAGGTCAAGTCGGTACTTCAATTCTTACCTCAGCGATTCTCCGTTGACTTTCCTACCCAAAAAATATATTTACGAGTATGTTTTGCGTTAAGCCACAAAAATATGTCTTCCTTACCACACGACTGCCTCTCTTTCCCCGTGGCTTCAGTATTTCCCATGCAAATATTTGAGCTGCGCACCTGCCGAAAAGTTTTCCTTGTGACAAGACCACACATCAAGAAGCTCCGCTCAAACAACGTGACTTGCCAGCGGTTCTCAAGTCCTTGTTGATATTTCAAGCGCTTAAATTGATTACGGAATCTTTCTGTCGTCGCCCCTCATAATTATACCCTCACTAAAGGAGGTAGATTTATTTTTGTTGGATTCCCAGTGTTTCGGATTTTATCGATGAAATCCAAAAAGTCATCAAAACTTAATTATGCTAAAATACTTTTTAAAATATTATTTGAACATAAGGTTGTTTAAGCTTGTGCTGGTCAAAATGTTCTCCAACAAATTTTAAATTAAGTAAAGCCACACAAAGAACTTGTAAAAAGTTTATTTTTTCTAGGTAAAACCAGTTTTTATATTAGTGACAGACTTTCCCATTGAGAAAATCGAATTTTCAGGGTATTTTAAAGCTTTTCCCAGTCTAAAGTCTCTTTTCCGCTTTGCATAACGGAAATCGGAAATTTAATCCGTTTACTTGGCAATTTGGGCGGATGTTTATTGTGGATTCTTTGGTTTGCGGCTCAATCATTTTAATGGCAGACTCGTGTTAGGTCTTGTTGGAAATTCATAGAGACACCCACTCAAACACCCACAAACACACACGCGCGTGGTGAATTCTTTGCGGATTTCGCCTCGTTCAACAATCGCCATAAATCGACCAATGCTGTTTGATTTTTTCGTTGCTGTCCTTGCTGAACATTAAAAATTAATTAAAACTGTGCATAAAACAAATAAATTAAATGCAAATACTATTTGGTATTTGCTTCATGCGGCAATCCAGTTAATTGATTCGTTCACGCTTTGTTAAATACTTAATTTGCTAAAGCTTTAGTTTTAAAATAAAATTTATTGACATATAACAAAAGTTTAAACTACCCAACTTGATTGTGTAGAACCATGTACATTCATTAAGTTAAAAAAGTTCAGAGTTTGGAAAGCTCTGCAAAAAATATTTTGAGTCTACAAAATTTAAAGTTGAATATAATTATCTCACCTTATTGTTTAACATACAAATATATGTAAATTGTGGATTATCATAAAGAATGCAACTTTTAATCGAAATAACCCAATACATGGTAACCCATAACAATTTCATCCTTTGTGTCACAACACCAAACTTTGTTTAAAAAGGCGAATAATAGCCCACTTTAAATTGAGCGCTATTTATCATCTATGGAAACGGCTATGGTTTGAAAGAGATCTGAGCAGAGATACGCAAATACGTATACGACACGTATACGCGAATAAAAGCGGCAAACTTTTACGCGCGAAACTTTAAATGAGAAAGGCAAACGAGTAAAAGCAAAAGGCAGCAGTCTAGCACTCCATGCGACATGCAAAGTTCGTGGAGGCGGAAAATCCATTTATCATATGGCTGCTATCTGTATGTGAATGAAAAAGTACCGAAAAAGTAACGAAAGACACTTGATGTGCGATATTTACACGACAAAAACTACCGGCAGGTGGTAGATATAAATGACGACTCCACAGTTGGCATTTCGATGGCTTCGAAAGCCGTAAATGCCGGCAAATGCAAATTACGTGTGTTCGAGTATCTATGAATACGTGCATGCCGAAGATATGTTTTGGCAGAATATGCTTGTTTTCGCTCTGCTTGGCGTGAATTCCGCCGAAGATAATGACGCTGTAGAAGCGGCACAAGATGATGACGATGCTGTGATCATTTGCGCTCCTTACGTGCTCATGTGTGCGTGAAAATCAGTCAAGATACGGGAACAACGACAAGGATTCAGTGTGGTTACCATGTATGAATATTTATGCAGGCGTCTGTTTTTGTTTCTGGCCATCAGGTCTGAGATGGGGCACTCAATTGAATGATTTGCGGCAAGTTGTGCTATAAATTAACCATGTTAAGAGGATATTCAAGTAGCAGTAGGGAATAACTCCTGCTTTATCTGCAAAGCGCGAGCCCTCCATTTAGGCTTGCACATTTTTTGGGATCTCTGAGATGTGTAAGCTAACCTACATTAAATGATTTTCCGCAAATAAATATATTTAATATGAACACAAAATTTATTGCTGCAATTTACCTTAGAGCAAAATAAGATTTGGTAGTTTTTATAAACGCATTGCTGTCATCATCAGAATCCCGTTTTCTACCTGGCACTCGCAGTCAAACACATAAATCACCACAAAGTTCAGCTGTCATGACGGCCATGTCAGACCTCTTAACGCATCCAACTCCTGTCGCCTGCCCGGGTGCGATCTGGTATTGGTTTTGGCCAGAAACCATGTCAAACTGGCCAAAGTCCCGCCGCAAGCCACACCAACATCCACGGAGAACATGCAACAAATTCCGCAATAAAATCGTAAAAATCATTTAAAATACATTCGCATACAGCGCAGCAATCGCCTGTCACTGCGGCGCCCGAACAAACAAACGCAAATGTCCTCCTTTTTGCCATGATATGTTGCCATCATGTCGCCAAATATTGAAATCGAAAACCAAACGATTCGGTCGCGGCCAACACATGCTCGATTTTGACAATTTACTCTTGAATAAAATTGTTGTGCAAACGTAGCTAATCAAAACAGCATTGCAGTATTGATAGGAACTGAAAACGTTTTTTACCCTAGACTAAAGTAAAATGTAACATATAAAGTGCAGAGTACTACAAAACATTTTTTCGTCAATAAATACAATATAAGATAATAAACAGGTTTTACAATAACACTGATGATGTCTAGTCATCTATGCTACCTAAGATGTTAGTTATAACAAATAAAGTTTATAAAAATTAAGTAAAAGAAATATAAATTAAAACCTATAAAAATTTTAGCTCATATTACGTTTTTAGTAAAAAAAAAGATATTTTCATATTGTTGGTCAGCTATTAGGAAAACTTATGGAAACGATATTCTTATATTCTATCATCATTTTAATGGAAGTATATAGTCCAATTTTATTTTCTTAATCTGAATTCTTAATGAATTGTAATGCCTCTAATACAGGCTGTACAAATTAAATTTATGAAAAATCTGAACAGTTCTTCAATGTTTCCTATGGCAGAAATATGATATAGTCGTGCCTTATATTTTTGTTGTTTTTGCAAGACTTTCAAAAATGTAGTGCAAAAGTTAGAATACCTAAGAAGCTATGAAATTTATATTTCTTCTGTTTTATACCCTTGCGCAAGCAAATGGTATTATAATTTCAGTCAGAAGTTTGCAATGCTGTGGAGGAGACACCTCAGACCCCATAAAGTATATATATTCTTGATCAACATCACGACCAGAATCGACCGACGGATATATCGGATTGCTCCCATACGAGAGAATGAAATAAAAGATTCGTATGCCTTTGTTTTTGATCAGATCGACTTGATTCTTCCAGATGGCGTTTTCTAACTACTATTGAATTTCGAATTAAATTTGATCAAAATCGGAGAAGTCTATCATATAGCAGCCATAGGAAAGACCGAAAAATATATATAGAAATAATTGCGAAATTATTAAAACGTCGTTGTTTTTTTATTTCACAAGCATGATTTTTACAACATCTAATTTTTTAACTACCTAACCGAGAAAAAAATTTCATAAAAATCGGACAACTACATATATCATTTAGCTTGCATAGGAAAGATCGAAAAATCTATGTAGTATTAACGGAAATAAAATGATAACATCGTTGTTTTTCATTAGACAAGCATGTTTTTGGAATATAGAGTTTTCTAACGACTCTTGAATAACGAAATAAATTTTTTCAAAATCGGACAACTATATCATATAGCTGACATATGAACAATAGTCGAAAATATGGAAAATTAAAAGAAAAATCGTTCGATGTTGTTTTGCCTTTATGTATTTTGTTTGAAATATTTTATGACTGCAAGGGTATATAAGCTTCGGCTTGCCGAAGCTAGCTTCCCTTCTTGTTATAAAATAAATATTATTTTTTAAATAGTATATATGAATTTTTCATCAGACCTAAGTCTTTAAGCCTACCCACAACATATATATTAGGTCTCTAGCTTTAAAACTAATTCTAGATTCGCCTGTTCGTCATATAATTTAATAATTTATAAGAGCACCTTCAACTGACTAGAGTGCGATAGGAAGATTGAGAATAAAGAACAACAATTTAAAAACATCCTCTGTTCTTCTGCTATCAGCAAAAATTTAAAAGTCTGGCGAATAAAAATTTCCCGCTTTTCTGGCACTGTGGCTAAGCATACGTTCAATGCATTTTAAGACTTACCAGAACAGAACAGAAGCCTGAAAAATAAACAATAATGTGCAGTTATTTTTTGACGTAAACATATATTAAATAATTATAGCAAGTAAGCAAATAGACAAATCATGAATACAATAAAATGCTTTCTCCGGTTTATTAATGAACAACATTTCATTTGCAAGGTAACGCTATTTTTCAATTTAGCCAATCTTTTTTTTCGCAACCGTGTCCCCTGTCCGAATAGCCCACGGGGCAGTCCACGGGGGACATCGGAGCAGCCTCCACGTTGCGGAGGAAGAATCCAAGGAAAAAGAGCACACAGCCTTGGAAGACGTTCATCGTATTTCGTTATCAAATATCGTTGCATAGCTGCAACAGCCAGCAGAGCAGACTTTTATAGTGACAGACTTGGCTGCAAGTATTGGATTCGGATTAAGCCAGTGATATTACGATTTAACGGTTGGCTTTCAAGGTTTTCTTGAACTAAATCTACTGGCCGGTTACCTGAGCTCTTCCGAGTAACATGGAAGCCATTCTGTTTTGGGTGCTTTAATTAATGAGCAGAGAAAAGAGGCGAAAAGTTATGCATTTAAGAAATCTCTAGCACGTCTTGGGTAGAATTTCCAATAAGCCATAGTGTGGCTAAGAAAACTCCGCATTTAAGAATTGGCCATTGCTATTGCGAATTTATTTTTTAGCATAGAGTACGATAATTTATTTAATACCTGCGAATTATTATTTTTATTTATTTTAAAGTGGGACCACTTTTAAGCAAGTCCCTTTTGCATTGATCTCGTTTTTTTTGCATACGACGTCGGGAGCCGGATCAGTCGCCACGTTGCAGAGGTAGAATCCAAGGAAAAATAGCACAACCTTGGAAGACGTTCATTGTAGATCGTTCTCAAATACTCCTAGATGGCGCCAGGTGGCAACCCACCGCTAGGATAAGTCGCTTCAAGCTAATCACCAGGCTGATCGAAAATACCAAAGGTTAATGTATCCACTACAAGTTGTAGAGGCAGGCCCCTATGCTCTCGGTTTGAGTGATAAAGGAAATTTTCTTTTTTGTTTTAAACCACCCTCCTGTTTTCGTTCTTTTGAGTGATATAGAAGCCTTGTTGTTCGGGGTGGTTTAATTAACGAGCAGTGGAAAGAGGGGGAAACTGTGCATTTAAAATATCTCTAGCACGTCTTGGGTAATATTTCCAAAAAGCATTAATGTGGATAAGAAAGCTCCGCAAGCATTTAAGAACTGGCCACTGCTATTGCGAATTTATTTTTTTAAAAAGAGTACTACAATTTATTTAATACCTGCGTATTATTATTATTAATTATTTAAACGCGGGTATTGTTCCATCTAGGAGCACATAGAAGGGGGGTTCGCATACGGGCTCCGGAGCAGTCTCCACGTTGCGAAGGAAGAATCCAAGGAAAAAGAGCACACAGCCTTGGAAGACGTTCATCGTATATCGTTATCAAATTATCGTTGGACATCCGGTCTGTGGGAACAGAGCAGACTTTTATACTTACAGACTTGGGTGCAAGTACTGGATTCGGATTAAACCAATGATATTACGATTTAACGGTTGGCTTTCATGGATTCATAGAATTTAAATAGCTAATCGGTTTAGTAAACTCTTTACTCCAATTTCACTTGTTACCTCTGATCTTCTCTGTTTCAATGGCTCACGTGGCGTCTACTTGACGGCAAATGTGAAGTTTAAGAAAATGAGCACTTCTCCCCGTACCTCTTCAGATCTCTTTAGTATTCCCCCATATTTAATATAATTTCTTTTTGAATTTGTCCGGCGAGCTAAGCGAGTTCCGGAAAAGGCACATTTTCTGTAATACTCCTCACATATTTACTTAGTCACTTTGGTTCAAATTGAAGGGAAGTTGATATGCACTCGTATGCGGCTCTACCTTAAAATCTATTGGCTCATTACCGGGTGGTTTTAAAAAGCGCGTAACTGCCAGCCTTGAATTAGTGTGATTATGTTAAGGTTGGATGTTTTTTGTTAAAGGGAATTCCTGGAGTCTGCATATTAATAACCGTATTGTATCATTTGAAATTAGTAATGTTATTGTTATAAATCACCCTCCTGTTCTCGTTCTTTCGAGTGACATGGAAGCCTTGCTGTTAAGGGTGATTTAATTAATCAGTGGAAAGAGGGGGAACTGTGCAGAACTGGCCATTGCTTTTGCGAATTTATTTCTTAACAAAGAGTACTAAAATGTATTTAATACCTGCGTATTATTGTTATTATTTATATGATTTTTGTTTCACGCATCTAACTCCTCTTATATGGGGGCCTGCCTACGACGAGGCTGTTCGGAGCAGCCTCCACGTTGCGGAGGAAGAATCCAAGGAAAAAGAGCACACCGCCTAGAAAGACGTTCATCGTAGATCGTTATCAAATATCGTTGGACAGCCGGTCTGTGGCAACAGAGCAGACTTTTATACTTACAGACTTAAGTGCAAGTATAGGATTCGGATTAAGCCAGTGATATTACGATTTAACGGTTGGCTTTCAAGGATTTTGAGAATTTCAATAGCTAATCGCTTAGGTAAACTCTTTCCTCTAGTTTTACTTTTCACCGCTGACCTTCTCAGTTTCAATGGCCTAATTGGCGTATATTTGATGGAAAATGTGCAAGAAATGGAGCCCTTCTCCCCGTACCTCTTCTGATCTCTTTAGCATTGCTCCCATTTAAATTATATATCTGTTTGAATTTGACTGGCGAGCGAAGGGAGTTTCGGAAAGAGCCACATCAGCTGTAATACTCCTCACATATTTACTTAGTCACTTGGTTTCTCCACTTTTCGACTAGTAGCAAATTGAAGTGAAGTTGATGTGCATTCATATCCCAAAAATTCTTGCAGTCAATATATAAATTACATTATATGATTTGAAATAAGTAGTTATATTTTTTTAACCACCCTCTTGTTCTTGTTCTCCAGTTAAATCTACTGACCGGTTACCTGAGCTCTTCCGAGTGAATATTTTATATCCCTCTTTTCGGATAAATCGAAGAGGAAAAGCAGAGGGAGGACCCAACTGACTGATTGCAGTTGCCAGAAGCTTACATGGGACATAATTACCCGGAAAGTCGGATTGAAGTTGGGCATATAAGAGACTCAAAAGCGGGCCATTATGTGTAAGCTGATAGCTTTGTGCTGCTGCACTGCTACAAGAAACTTAAACTTTAAGTTTTTGCCTTAACTTGAGCCGAGCGAGTTTTTATTTCTTTGGCTTGAGTTCGCGGTTAACTTTTCGGGGCTCCTCCGCTTCGAATTCAATTAATTACGCAAAAACGGGAAGGGGAGCCAGCGGAAGTTGCTTTATTTCGGCACGTGATAAATTAATTTAAGCCAGACCCGAAGCGTTCCGTGTAATGTTTTTGCATACACATCGCAAGGCGCCGCCAGGTGGCACAAAATGGGATAGCTTAGTGGGCGGGGCGGTGGGCGTAAGTGGGCGGCGCAGGGGGCTCAGGTTATCGAAGTGGGTGTGGCAAAAACTTAATTACGCTACGCACGGCAGCTAATTGAGTTCATAGCCTAACGAAAAATAAAACGCCATTTGTCTTGACATTGAGACACAGTTTCGCTTTTCGGTTAACAATTACACGCAATTTTCATGGCACTGTGGGATGGAAGATAAATCAATAAGCAAAAAAGTACAAAAAAGTAATATTCATGCATATGAAACCCAACGATTGAAAAATTACTTATAATTATACAACGAAAATATGTCTATTTTTGAACTACAACTAATGGTTTTACTACAACTAATGGTTTTCACTTGGAGAAACCACTGTGAATATAATACCATCTCGAAGGACGTGCTTCCTTCGCGTTTCATGTTTATGGTCCCGAAAACAGTTACTTAATTGCCTAAATATTTGAATGCCGAGCAAACTTTTGGCTAAATCAATTTGGCCAACAGACGGGATACTTTAACCTGGCCCAGACCTCGAGCTTAGACTTGAACCGAAGCAGCCGAAACGAACCCATTTCACGCTCTCCTTTCACTTGCACTCTTGACAGCTCAATTTACTCCGCTCCACTCGCCTACTTTGCGTTTTGGGACGCCAGTAATTATAACTTGGCTGTAATCTGCGTATTAATCTCAGTTTTCGTGGGGCCAGGACACAAAGAGGGTTTTGCCAGTTCTCGGCTCAGTTTTCCATTTTTTCGCCATTTTAACATGGAACAAATGTCGGGGAATTTATTTGGTTTATTGTTGCTGATGTTCTGCAGCTTTACGCTAGCTGCTTTTGTCTTATTTAGCACTTGACACGGAATATTATTAATTGGTCTAGACGAGCCCGAGACGAAAGGCACACAACTCCTTGCCAAGGCTTAATGGGCATTAAAACTAATATACAGACTTCAATAGAGATGAAAACTGTTTAAAAAATTATTGAATTGCAGGTTATAATTAACAAGAAATTTCATTTGAACTGGTATAACCTTTATACAAATACAATGTTCTATTTTTTAAATATTCATGACTGTTACGGTAATACCATTTCCTTAAATTAACACATAGACAGAACAGAAACTTGATCTAAATTTTTTTTAATTCTCAAAATATAAGCGGCCTCTACTAGCCTTTTTTGTATTTCTTTTAATTTGTTAATTAATCAATTTACAATTTATTTATACAATAGCTAAAAGTATAATCATAAACTTTTTGATTATTCGAGCGATCTCGAATATTTTAAAATGGGTAAGCCACAGCCAAGTTGCTGACCTATAATAAATAAAACGGATTGTGACCAACTTTTATATACTTGGATACATTTTTAGGAAAGTGTTTATTTTGTTTGATAGCATAAACTAAATTCCAGTGGCGTAGATAGGGGGAATCAGGGGGATCAATCCCCCCCCCTTGGGTCTGAGAATTATAAGATGATAAAATCGAATTTTTTCCAGACATGTGTTTTAATGGAAGCATAACATTTTTGAAGCGCCAATATTTATTTTGTCTCAATGTGCAATACGGCAATTAATAAAACTATTATTCAATACTCAAGCTAAAATACAACAGGTCGGCATTTGTTGAAACTGCAATCTCGGGTGGCCTGACCATCTACGTTGCTAAGGGCGAGTCCCAGCACAAAGAGCACACAACCTTGGAAGAAGTTCATCGTATATCGACTTGAATGCTTGGCTGTGGACCGCAGCAGTATTTTATACCCTGCTGCCGAGTTATTGCCTTGTGTGGTTCAGATTATCCCATTCATATTTCGATTTAACGGTTGGCTTTCAAGGTTTTTCACCATAGCTAATTGCTTAAGTGCACTCTATGCTCTAGTATAATTTTTTACGGATGACCTTTTTCATTACTATGGCTCATTTGACTTAACCCTTTGTGTAATTTAGCACTTGACACGGAATATTATTAACTGTCTAGTTCACTGCGTTGCAAACTTCTGACTGAAATTATAATACCCCGGAAGGTATATACATATATTCTTGATCAACATCACGAGCAGAATCGGAATATGTTACGTCTGTACGTCTGTCCGTTTCCGCGTAAACTAGTCTCTCAGTTTTAAAGCTATCTGTTGAAACTTTCCCAAAAGTTGTGTAGTTGTTGCACGTAGTATATAAGACGGAACGGGCCGGATCGGCCGACTATATCGGATAGCTCCCATACGAGAGAATGAAATAAAAAATTCTCACGCCGTTGTTTTGTTTTGATCGGATCGACTTGATTTCTTCAAGATGGCGTTTTTGAACTGTTATTGAATTTCGGATTAAATTTAACCAAAATCGTATAACTCTACCATATAGCTGCCATAGGAGAGATCGAAAAATATATATAGAATTAATGGAAATAAATTGATGCATTTAGCCTTTATGCATTTTGTTCGACATATTTGATGACTGCAAGGGTATATAAGCGTTGGCATGCCGAAGCTAGCTTCCTTTCTTGTTTTATTTCTTTTAATTTGTTTATTAAGCAATTTACAATTTATTTATACAATAGCTTAAAAGTATAATATAATCATAAACTTTTTGATTATTCGAGCAATATCGAATATTTGAAAATGGGTAAGCCACACAGCATAAGCTAAATTCATAGCATACACTAAGATTACTCTCTAGTTTTCCTAGTAGGGATAGCAAACGTGTCGAGCGTTATTGTAGTAACGGCCGGGTCCGCATAATGCGTCCCTACTGTCATCTCGGGTGGCCTGACCATCTACGTTACTGAGGGCGAGTCCCAGCACAAAGAGCACACAACCTTGGAAGAAGTTCATCGTATATCGTTCTCGACTTGGATGCCTGGCTGTGGACCGGAACAGCCTTTTATACCCTGCCACCGAGTTATAGACTTGGGTGCATGTACATATGTGGCTCGGATTATCCCAGTCATATTGCGATTTAACGGTTGCCCTTCAAGGTTTTTTCAGCATAGCTAATTGCTTAGGTGCACTCTATGCTCTAGTATCATTTTTTACGGCTGACCTTTTCTGTTTTTATGAATCACTTGGCTTATTCTTTGTCTAATTTATCATTTGACACGGAATATAATTAACTGTCTAGTTGACAGGTTTGCCTTACCAATTGAGGGGAAGTATTGGAAATGCAATTGGCACGGTATCGCATACCGAACTATCGATCGTAAAAGTCTAATGTAACTTCTCTAACGATCGTACTGTTCCCTTCTTCTTCTGTCCACCACTATCGCCAACAAATCTGTACAACTTAATCTCTGTATCAATTATCTTAACAAAAATATTATTCAATACTCAAGCTAAAGTACAAGAGGTTGGCATTTGTTGGCAAATGTATTAAAGAAACTGTCGGGTCTGCAATCTCGGGTGGCCTGACCATCTACGTTGCTAAGGGCGAGTCCCAGCACAAAGAGCACACAACCTTGGAAGAAGTTCATCGTATATCGACTTGAATGCTTGGCTGTGGACCGCAGCAGTATTTTATACCCTGCTGCCGAGTTATTGCCTTGTGTGATTCGGATTATCCCATTCATATTTCGATTTAACGGTTGGCTTTCAAGGTTTTTTCACCATAGCTTATTGCTTAAGTGCACTCTATGCTCTAGTATAATTTTTTACGGATGACCTTTTCCATTACTATGGCTCATTTGACTTAACCCTTTGTGTAATTTAGCACTTGACACGGAATATTATTAACTGTCTAGTTGAACGCGAGACGAAAGGCACACAACTCCTTGCCCAGGCTTAATGGGCATTAAAACTAATATCCAGATTTCAATAGAGATGGAAACTGTTCAAAAAATTAATGAATTGCAGATTATAATTAACAAGAAATTACATTTGAACTGGTATAATCATTTATCCAAATTCAATGTTATATTTTTTAAATATTCTTGGCTGTTACGGTAATACCTACCATTTCCTTAAATTAAGTCATAGAGATAAAATAAACTATACAACCTTTTTCTAAATATGGCCGAAAGATTATTATCAAAATTCAGAAATTTATGCTATATAGAAAAAATATAATAGGCCTTCACCTTTCCGATGAGCAGTCTAATCAGCTTGTCTTTTCTGGTTTCATTTTTGCTGTAGGCAGAGCAAATACCCTTGCAGAGCAAAAGGGTATTATAATTTCAGTCAGAAGTTTGCAACGCAGTGAAGGAAACACCTCAGACCCCGTAAGGTAAATATATTCTTGATCAACATCACGAGCAGAATCGGAATATGTTACGTCTGTACGTCTGTCCGCCTGTCCGTTTCCGCGTAAACTAGTCTCTCAGTTTTAAAGCTATCTGTTGAAACTTTCCCAAAAGTTGTGTAGTTGTTGCACGTAGTATATAAGACGGAACGGGCCGGATCGGCCGACTATATCGGATAGCTCCCATACGAGAGAATGAAATAAAAAATTCTCACGCCGTTGTTTTGTTTTGATCGGATCGACTTGATTTCTTCAAGATGGCGTTTTTGAACTGTTATTGAATTTCGGATTAAATTTAACCAAAATCGTATAACTCTATCATATAGCTGCCATAGGAGAGATCGAAAAATATATATAGAATTAATGGAAATAAATTGATGCATTTAGCCTTTATGCATTTTGTTCGACATATTTGATGACTGCAAGGGTATATAAGCGTTGGCATGCCGAAGCTAGCTTCCTTTCTTGTTTTATTTCTTTTAATTTGTTTATTAAGCAATTTACAATTTATTTATACAATAGCTTAAAAGTATAATATAATCATAAACTTTTTG